TATCATGATCAGTTACCCAGCAATATGGTCTACTATTAAAACAAATCGTTAACCATACTATAGTAAACATTTTTATTCATTTCACCATCCTTTTTATGTAATAACTTATTCAATTACACAAAATCTTGACAATTTCAATCTGCCAATCTTACAAGAGAAAGGATTAAGATATTTATATCCCTCTATTAATGTACTTAATCGTATCGGCATTGTCCACCATATCCCCCAATGACGTCATCCAAGGGCGACAACTTGAATACGGTCTTAAATGAAAGGGTCTATAGCCCTCGAAATTCATAAAATTATTCATAAACAAGGACCAACATACTTACATGATCTTGTTAATATAAAAACTCATTCTTTTAATTTTAGGTATAAAAATGTAGCCGTTATCCCTCAGGTAAGAACCACCAGTTATGGCAGCAACTCTTTTCGTTCCTATGCACCTAAACTATGGAATTCACTTCCTCAACACCTCATAATGGAAGTGAATTATGACCAATTTAAAAGTTTAATTGGTGCATGGAATGGAGAGAGTTGCTCATGTACTTTCTGTCAATAAACCTGCATTATAGTTTAGCTCCATCTTCAGTTTTGTTTCTTGCCTGCTTTTTTTGTTTTGCTCCTTACTTACATGTATCTGTTTATTTCACATTTGGCTTAAATTTTGTTAATATTCTCAACATAAATGTTTATGTACATGTATTATTTTTCCAGTGCGCTTGAATTTTGTTTGCTTATTGTCAGCTTATGCGAAGTTTGCTTATTGAGGAGGCTGCTGATCACTTCTTGCAAATTTTGAATTGGGGATTTTCTATTTATAAAACCTAATTTTATTTTCAATATCTTATTTCCTTTCTTTTATAACAGTCCAGGCTAGGCCTGGGTCAAGATCAGCAGAATCCACCCACTTTTAATGTAATCTTATTTTATGTATGTGCTAATATGTTCCGCATTTTTATCCAGATATATATTATTTTATTCACTTATGATACAGTAATTAAATGTTATCCTTAACATATCATTACTATTTATTAATTATTATTATTTTACTTTAAATTAATACAATTAGTGTCTACATCTCACATTATAGTAATTTAACTTGTCTTTTACCATTTGTCTTTCAAACTTTATCTTAATGTGCCTCTTTTATGAGTTTTATGTTTATATGCATGTATGTCGGTCAAAAGCTATACATAGCTTATGTTTTTGTAAAATGTTATATATGTATACCGACAATAAATAAATTTTGATTTGATTTGATTTGATTTGGATGAGACGTGGGTGAACTTTTACGACCCGGAGAGTAAACGAAATTCGATGGTGTGGAAGTGACCTTCATCACCTCCCCCCAAGAAGGCGAAAACCTGCAAGTCGGCGAAGAAAGTTATGTATATTTTCTTCATGGATAGCCAGGGTATGCCGTTGCAACATGCGGTGCCAAGTTCGGCAACAGTCAACAAAGAGTACTATCAAAAGGTAAGCATTAATTATGTCGCATGAAATGTTTTAACTAAATTTCTATGTTTATCTATATGTAAGATGAAAGGTATATAAAATATAACAAAAAGTGAAAGAAACTATTATTTTTATAATTTGCCGCATTTGTGGTAGTTTCAAATAAAACGAATTTGTTATTAACATGTTGTGCGGAGGGATCTTACGAACGCTATCAGGAAAAAGCGAGCAGGATGCGACATCGAAAATTTAATTTTTCATCAAGATAACGCTCCAGCACACCGCACAGACGAGACACTCCTTACAATTGACTTCTTATGATATGAGCGGCTACGTCATCCCCCTTATAGCCCCGATCTCGCCCCTTAGACTTTTGTGTTTTCCCTAGACTGAAAGCAGATTTTAGGGGTCGGAGGTTTGATACAGAAGATGAGATCAAATATGCTGTGAGGTCCGCAATGAGAGGTAACACTCCAGAGTGGTAAGCAGACATTTACCGGAAGTGGGTACAGCGGCGCAGGAAGTGATTTGAACACAATGGGGACTATTTTGAAAAAGCATGAACGTGACGGTAAGTTGTTTCTGGAATATGAACGTCACTTAAACGGCGTTAGCGTCGTCGATGTCACCGAAGTGATCCGTACGTGATATAGTGTGTAACTTTAACGGGGTGTTAAATATGTGTAACATTTATGAAAATCATTGACTCTTATATATTCATGCAGCGATTTCTCTAAATTTTAATGTAATATATGTCATTATAAAAACATACACAAAATAACAAAGTTATCGTAAGAGTCCGGGAACTTTTTGACTATACCTCGTAAAAAACGACAATGTAGACAATGTAGTTAAGAACGTCGTAGTTAGCGTGATAACATATTTCCTTAGACAGATCGATCGATATGATCCCAACGTAATGTCATTCTAGAATTCAGCACGCACGCTTTTTTTGTAGGTATGTCATTTTCAACCTTTCATGGTTTCATGGTTAGGGGGCGTGAGGGTTGTTGCACTTATTCATTATCCCTCATGTACAGACTCAATCAAACCGAGTCTGCAATTCTTATGTTATTTTGTTGTGATTAAGGTTTCCGAGGGATCACTTTGTTTCAAGAATTTTTTATTATTTAAGAAATTATGTATGATACACTTATTTTCTTTTTATTTATTTCATATTCCAAACATCTTATTACAATCATTCACATTTACATACAATATTTTTTAACTGAGAATAAACACATTTTGCTGTATGTAAATCCTCATTCATTTACCTGGCACATATTCATTTATTCCAAACAGAAGAAAAAGAAACATCACACGACATAAGAAATATTTTGTCCACCTGAAGATAAAAAGACATAACAAACATCACAACAGCACCGAACATAAAAATACATAAAATAACAAACAAACAAACAACAAAACCCAACACAAAAACAAACACGTTAGAACACACCTACTCACCAAACACAAACAAAATAAACATACTTAAAAGTAAACTAGTTTAATTTTATATCTAAGTTTTCTGGTTTTCATTTAGATATTTTCATTGGTTTATCATTGGCTTTATTTGTATCTATTAGGTAGGTTACTCCATTTCATATGTGTTATCAAACTTTGTCATTTGACAATGCTTTTATTTCTTCAATCTGTATCCCAAAATATCAAATCTTTTTGTAACAAAAACACGAACAGTTGGCTTTCTCTTTTGGTATTTCATTTTTCAAATGTATCTTTCTTTTTCATGAAAATAATGATATAATATACTATTTTCAATTTATATTGTTATTCAGCTCTTTATTGTCCCCCGTCCATTTGAAGAAAAAGGGGGATATAGAAATAGACTCCGTCCATCAGTCGGTCAGTCCGGGCGAACATCCAATGGTCTATGAGCTTCATTCCGTCCATAATTTTTGTTAATAAAAGAAGAAAATCCCATAAACCGACTGGTTTATGTGGTATTATTACTGGTTTATGGGGAAAATGCCACATAAGGATCAAAGAATCAAAGCACTGAAAGCACTGGAGGGTCGCTTGCGCTGACAAATTTATATGACATTATATTACTGGTGATCACTTGAAAGGCCAAATCATGTCCTTTTGCAAATTTTTTGAAAATGTTCATGTCATATTCAAGTGGAAATGATTGAGTACAAAGGAAAGAGCAATATTTGCCATTTGATTTAATTCAGGATGATTTATCATGATATGGAAAACAATTACAACACGGTTTTATCAAAAGTACTAAAAAACAGTTATTTTTTCTCAACGTGGTTCAGTTGAGATCGAAAACCAAACTGCTTTATATCCCTAAAATAATAATTGAAAGTTGAATAATAAAATTTTAAGAGTACACTACTGACAGAAGCAGAAGCTGGGTAGTAGATAACCAAGTCCTTTATTAACAATGACTAAGCATTGATAATTTCATCTACTTATAAGGCATATGAAAACATGCTCATTCTTGGGGATTATAGTTATTATCAATCTGATATTCAAGTTATCAAGTTCAAACAAATCGAAAGAAAATGGTTGAAAAAATCTTTCTGTTTATATGTATACTAGTAATTAAGTGTTCCATCAGGGATAAACTTTTCAGTGATTGTGAATACATGACTTTATCAATGTCACAATTTCATCCAGAGAGATTCATGAAATTCTCACAAACAATAAGTCAAGTATGTCAGTTAAAAACTAGAACTACACTAAATGTGATTAATACCCCCACAAAACTGCTTTGGACATTTAGGATGTAACAGAATACCTTGTAAAAGAATTGAAATAGAGTTATGTTTGTGGGGCATTTAAAGATAGTAAGTTGTGGTTCTTGCTATGTTGCATTTCCTTTCAATGTGGTGACCATTGATGAAGTTTTATTGAATAACTCTATAAATTACTGCAGATGAGTAATGGTTATTGTACACTGCACTTTCTCTCATTCGCCTGACCATTTGTATGAAGTTTTGTATTGAATTCCAACTACTAGTTTTCAAGTGATGCAATGGACAAAAGTACAAACGGCACTTACTGTAGGTCATTCCTTGCAAATTTTGGTTATCTGCCCCTTATGCAGTCTTTGGTTTCTGAGGGAGATTTGTTTAAAGACCCACGACAACTGATGGTGGAGGATCACAATAGTTCACCATGAGCATTGTGCCTCAGGTGAGCTAAAAAGTAATATGATCAAAATACAAGTTTGTGGATAACCTCGGCAATTGCCAACATGACTGTTACGATACCTCTATTTTTAAAAAGAAAAAGTCGAGCTAAAAAGGGGCATAAACTGGCATCAAAAATAATTTATTGTGACCAAAAATTGAAACTAAATCTGTCTTTTGATACTAACATGGCAAGTATCAACACACTTCATTTCCTTTCATAAGTTGTCCTTCAGAAATCAATTTAACACCATAACTATATACATGCTTTTCAGTAAAAAATGACATTACTTTTAGAATTATTTCACAATAAGTTATAATTTCAAAAGATAGCCAGACTTTATTTGAATGAGGATTGAAAAGCCTATAAACAAACAGAAATTTTGTGGGAAATACATTTATTTCTCAGAAAAATGTGATAAATAAAGAGTAGATAATTAATATTTGCAAATCAGGAAGGAAATTAAACAAATTCAGGAAATATGACAGAATCACTTTCAATTATGAACATTGAAAATTAATGAATCTACACAGAAAAAAAATCTGCTCTCTTTGGCTTGTATGATGGGCTATAAACCTCGGACATCATAAGGCGTCATATCTGAACTACTTTCAGTCACAGTAAAATAGCCTCCATTTACCAACATTGTGGCAAAGTTATACATATATTATCCAAAATTAACAATATTGGGAATTATTTGAAAACAAAAATATTAACAGATACATGTATAAAATAAAACCAATGTATAATTATTCAATGTCCATTTATAGTTGAAACTGTGGAATTTAGCTATGTCAACGTCTGAAGGGATTCCAGTTACAAATATCTGAAAATAAAATATATTTGTCACGTTGCAAGTAATTGTTTATCTGGCACTGAATATATTCCACATCATAAAGACAATGTGCTCCATACTTAACAATTTACCAGTAAATCGAAGACATATTTCTTCTATAAAAATTTTTTTTTCATATCTTTGCATGAATTATCATAGTTAGCTTACACCACTATGTAAAATGCTAGTTTCTGGTCACAAGAAAATCAAAAGCAATGGATGGTGTGATATTCAAACTAAATTAACTTTACAAATGCTGCTGAAAAAACAACACAAGAATATTGTCAATTAGTTTCAATTAAATGACAGGACAAATATTGGTTTCAATTAATGCTGCTTTACAAGAATAGAAACATCACTTCTAACTGCAAGCAGAACCATAGTGTATTCTGATGTCAGGAAAATAATTATTATCGCCTATTTTTGTATCTCATGCTTTCTTTAGATGGATAAAAGTAAAAATTTAAAGTGGACTACTATACCTCAATTGGTATTCTGTATGCTGAAGTTTCCTTTGAATACAGAAATAACTCCTTCACATAGTAAGCTTCACTTCAATTAAGTTGTTCCAGAAATAATACATTGTCTACTGGGTACTTCAGACAGCTTCATTTGAACAGAGTGGGCAACTTCTTACTGCAAAGTGGGAGCAGGTTTAGTCTTACTGCAAAGTGGGCGCAAAGGTTTAGTAAAACAATTAAACAGCATAAGTTGTTCAAATACAAGAAACTAGAAGCAGGGCATAATCTGTTATTGTTCTTCAGAAAAATAATTTGAAAAATTTAACTTTAGAATGGATCATTTCACTATGAGCATACATTTCAATTTTTAATTTTCTAGTATAACATGTTTACAATAATATATATTTTTGTATGATTACTAGTCCTACAATGAATTAATGTAATTCTGGAAAGGAGACTTCTAACTTTAAATTCTTTGTCATGAATTTTTGAATTAGTAAAGGTCTGCAATGATATCAGTCAAACATTAGATAGTAAAACCCTATGTACAACAACAACATTGGTGCAAGTTGAAAATTTGGAAAAACCCTAAAACTGTAATTCATTCATTTATCATTTTTCCACATAATCTAATAGTAAAACATGATGATATTTTGTCACAAAATCCTGGACTTCAGGCATATGGGCACCATGCAACAAGTGATTACAGTAAACATGTTTAAAAAGTTTGATTACTCGTAATTAATTACTAAGGGATCAGTTATTACCACAAGATGACATACCTTAGAACCTTATGATATTAGGAAAGACCTTTATTGACATGCAATCAACAACAGACCTTAATTAATTATTGAAAAAATGACTAACCTGCATGAATTTTTTTCTTCTCTGCAGCAGAAAACCCCTTCCTTACAGATAATTGCAAAGAATCTATAAACTACGGATCATCACCATCATCATCATGAAGACTTCTAGGCTGTCACTTTTTTGCTATAACAAACTGACAGTTTGAGCTGTCTTGTCCTGTATACATGTATATAACTTGTCTGAACCTACTGTACCTTAACTGTTATCAAACAGTAACATGACAGAAGTAATCTAAAAAAAAGCAAAACAAAATTTAATGTCTTATATTAAAGATCATGCACAAGTAATCAGTATTAAACAAGCAAGTTATATCATTTAACCACAATTTTTCTGCACATATGATATCTGTGTTAAATATATATTAAATAATAACTTTAAAGGTCCATTAAGCCTTAGAAAAGATAAAAAAATTATTTTTGAAACTTTCCTTTTACATATCTTTTTGCACTTCTCAAATAGTTACATGTACTTCATTGACCATGTACATGTAGAGAAATTATCTGGCACTTGGTATAATTACATTAATTTAGTATTTTGTATGGAAGTCAAAATAATACTGCTCACATTTTGCTACCTTTACAACACATTAATTACTGTTTGTTCAGTGTTACTCTTTTCAGTTGTTAAACATTTACAATGCTCTAAATAGTAAATACATCATTAAAACATTATTGAACACATGTTTGATCTTTCTAAAGAATTACAAAATTACAAAATCTCTGACACATTATATGTGCTTTTAAAGATTTTCAATATTGTTTACCAGAGATTCTTTTACCTATACTCTTATTCTATAGATTAATTACTAAGGGAACAGAAAATAATGTAAAATGTACTAGTTACATATTTAGTTACACACAACTTGACAGCAAATATACATTTTTCAATATAATAAAATACAAAAAAGAAAACTGGTTTCTCTCTGTAACCAAAGAAAATCATAAATATTGTAAACTTCAGACTCATACTCTTATACCTTTAGCATTAATGGCCTCTGATGGCTGAATTTCTAAGGTTGTTATAATTTATGTACTTTTACAGTCAAAAATGAGGTAAAATATTTTTCAAGGAATTCTTCTTATAAATATATATGCGAACACAAAACAAATAAATTTTAATGATATGACAATAAGTTAAATTCAGTATTTGACCTTGATGGTCAGTCATCTCAAGGTCAATGTCTTATATGAATTACTTAAAGGGACTCCACTGAGGCTTTTGACATGACCGGATTGGAAATAATTTTCAAGAATAATTATATGATATTCTATTTGATGTAGATCTCAGCAAAAAACCTATTTCCAAAAATTTCAGATCATCTTGCACTCGCTCTGTTTTCCCAGAATGATTACTTGAACAGTGTAAAATGTCCATAAAATGAACAGTGTTGCCAAGCTTTTGATTCATACATGTATCAGGAAGAATAGAATAAGAATAGCACAAATATACAATTTTCAATGTATTTCTAAATATATTTGACTTAACAGTATGTGCATATCATTCTGGACACAAGGAAAAACAACAGCATTTATTGCAAAAAAAAGCTGGTATACTGCTTTTGTACGGGAAATACTTCCATGAGGGTAATGTTGTTTTTAATTTTGACTACTAAATCAAATATGTGTTTCAAAATTTTCCAGAGCTCAATAAAATAAATGTGGGTTTTTATTATAAACAAACATTTAAAGAGAACTTACACTGAACAATACTATCATAGTATGTCTTGACCATGTCAAATTAAAAACCTCACACAACAGTTTGTTATATCACACACCTGAAATAAATGCATTTCTTATTTAACATTTATATGATTTTCATATCAACAATAAAGCATTCCAACTTATAGTTATCTAAATTAATCATTTGGCTTAATAGTCAAATCAGCTACATCATGTACATGTATATATACCAACTCAAAACAGGCCAATGCATCAAAACTATTGGAACAAATCAAAAGCAAGTAAAATGTTGACCATATTTACCATTCAGATAATATCATTCATGTTTATAAAATACAATGATTATTTGTGAAATTAATCAGTCAAATCCCATGTTATCAATTGAATTATATATTTTTCTTATATCAACAATTTTTTCATATTATTAGAAAATCCCCTAATCATCATGTAAATAAAGTTTTATATGATACATAGTCTAAGTACTATCGTCCGTTTTTGTATGCACTAGCATAGAGCAGAATGGGAACCACGCACTTGTTTGTGGGAGAACACTTCTGGATCAGGAATTACCTTCTATAAAAATCTAGTTGTAGAATCTTTCTTTAAATACAGGCAAATATTACTGAGTGACAATGCTTGAGCAAAATAAATAAAATCCAGCTGTTGCATATGTGTTTGTCCTTAGTGGTCTCTTTATTTGTTCATTTAAAGCTTAATACTAGGTAATTATGTACATAAAGAGAAACAGTAATTCTAAAAGAAAGTCCAAATAGCAATATTGAAAATGCTGCAGACTCAGTTTGATTGAGCCAGTTCATGGATAGAACTGGAAAGTGCATGCTGCTGTTCACACCCAATAGCACCAGGTTAAAGCAGTATTCAACATTTAAACATGTAATGGTAAAATTTTGAAATTAGAAACATTAGCAGGTGTATTTTTATGGCAGTGATCATGGAACCTCCAATGTGACATGTTAGTGCCATTCCATGAAAAGTGGCGTATGATTCCCAAAGAATACAATGTGCGTTCCTTAATGAAAAAAAAAATGGGGGAACTGAACAAACAGGATACTGTTCATCAAGATTCTGTGTATTAATTTTTTTTCTTTGTTTTTCAAAACTTTGGTTTAGATTGTTTCAATAATTAGACTATAAAAACTGAATTTGGCAAAGTATTTGAACTCAGTGTCAGTGTGAGAACCAAAGCCTTAAAGAAATAATCAGACACCTCCTCTAGGACAGACTTACAACATGTAAGGCCTTACTGTTTGCATGTAAACAAAGTAGTTTTTTGACTTCCATACAAAATACTAAATCACTTTAACTATACTGATTGCTAAAAAGCAACAGCTGAGTCAAAAGTTGGTTCAGATAATTGCCCATTTAGTATATTTTTAGGAAGTTATACCACTGGCCACCAAAAATAACAGGCTTTTGAAAAAATAAATTAAAATCATTTCTGGGGCATATTATGGCCAATATTGGCCTTTAAGCCAGTATGTGCTAGGGGGCGAGGACAGTAACTTGCATTTTCCAGTACTGTTTATCCTCAAACAAACCGAGCCTGCAACATTTTCAATTGTGTCATTTTGGGTGTTCTTAAGGGATTCTATTTTTCCTCTTTGATATGCATTGTAAACATAAACAATAATTTTTGGTACACCAATCTGCCATTATATAATGCCATGCTACAAATACCATGGTCAATAGTATTCATAGAAATTATTAGTGTAACTAATTTAATTTGTCGGAGAGACACTGAGATAATATTGGATGGGTGACAGTATGAAAAATAAAAGTTTGTAAAAATAGGTCAAACCATTCGAACTCAATTTATTTTTCTAACCAACAGCAGGGCCAGTGGTTTAGAATCAACAACCATAACCACTTCAACACAGATTTCCTGCCCCTACAGCTCCATAGTACTCCCCTGCACCCCTTAAATCCAGATTATATTACACCTTTCACTTTTTCTCTTTGCATTGTCTAAATTTCTTTTATTTTATCAGATTAATAGAACAATAGAAAATACAATGTATGACAATCTGCTTGTAGAAACGAATATCTATGATTGAGTAAATAAAAACAATATTACTGTATGATACTTATCTATAACATCAATCTATTATCTAGTTTATTTATTATTAATTATTAAATATTATAATATACAAATAAGATTAAGAATCCAGATTAATTTATAAATTTATTACTATACAGTTAGTTCTGTTAAACCTTTATCTGTTATCTATTAAATAGAAAGGAATACCAAACAAATGCAAAAAAAGCTAAAACATAAATATTTTTCAGTCCAAATGAATTTTAAAAATGTTAATTTTAGGTGGGGCGAATCGTCACTATAAAATTGAGACGAATCGTCACGGTGACGAATCGTTACCCTGTTACAAACAAATCTTCAAAAATTGATCACACGGGTGGCTCAGTTTCATAAAGTCTTTCCTCTTTAATCGAGGAAACTGACAAAATTACTAAAGAACTTACAATTTCTTCAAAATATCCTGGATGTCTGTATCAATTAACGTACTGACGAAAGTCGAATCAACATGGCTGACCTCAATGACCTGTCACGTGATTCAATCGCGCATTGATATTTTTTTCTGTACACAGCACAAATTTACTGTAATTTTCGACATCATGATACATTTCAAAATGTATGATAACCCTCCTGTAATGAATGAAGGTACGGATTTTCTAACTTGTTACCGACCATACGGAACTATTTACTACGTGCATGTATATTTCAGCCGAAATTCGGTTTGCAGTAAGCTTCAGATGTAGCTTATAACTTTGGGTCGCTCTGCGCAAGCGCAGCGACCCAAAAAGCACATTAACCTCAATTTTTGGCACGTCCGTTCGTCTGTCCATCCTTCCGTCCCTCACACTATCGTGTCCGGTCCATAACTTTTATCAAAGGATTTTGAAATAACTTAGCACTAATGTTTTTTATGATCAGACCATGTGTCATGCGCAACAACCAGACCCCTACCTCCAGGTTCAAGTCGCACTTGCTCATTCAAGGTCATCAAAATTTGCCACAATTAATAACAATAATGAGACAATGTGTCATGCGCAACAACCGGTCACCTACCTCCAAGGTCAATGTCACACTTGAAGGTCAAAGATTAACATAGTCTGTGATAGGGTATATTTTGTGTCCGGTCCATAACTTTTTCATAAATCAAAGGAATTGTCAAAATACTAGGCACAAATAGTCACTTTAACAAGACAATATGTCATGCGCAACACCTGCATCCCTACCTCCAAGGTCAAGGTCTCACTTAGAGGTCAAAATTTTACATAGTCTGTTATAGGGTATATTTTTGTGTCCAGTCCATAACATTTCCATAGACCAAGATTAACGTCTGTTATAGGGTATATTTTATGAATTTTTTTCGGCCCCGCTCAGAATTTCCTTATATATAATCGAGCGCTAAATCCCTCGCGGGACCTTCGGCCCTGCTCGGACTTCACGCGTATTAAGACGGGACAGAAAGATACACATTATAGTTTTAGTCCCAGCATAAAGTTACCTCATTAACCTCATTTAAATATTTCAAAGTTAAAAAAGAAACATGTGAAATACTTTTTCAGACTAAAGATACAAAAAATTTACAAATTTTAAGACTTGAACGGAGAAAAGTGTGTATGCCAAAATAGTACCGTTTAATGTCATTCAAAGCGATGGAAACGACAAATACCAGACGGATTTTTGTAGGGCTCGACCGTTTAATGATAAAAGATCTGTGTAGTTAACACGCTTCTCGGAATGAAATCTCAAAAGCGGCACTATTCGTAACATTTAAACCAATTTAAATACAGGTAATAAATGTTATCTAAAAGCGCTTCAGCCTCGCGGGGCCATTGTTCCCGATCGGACTTTCCGCGTATGATATAGAACATTTCCAAGATATTTTTTTGCAAATAAAATCTTGTATGATTAAAGAATCAGAATTATTAAAATCACTGTGCACTTTTTTACCACTTGCGATGTTCTTGTATCTTGTCTACCGATTCAAATATAATATTCTTATATATCCGCTTATAATAATACAATATAGGATGGGTCGGTTCTCACTTGGACAAGACCTTGGAGAGCACTTAACTAAATTTGACATTGGCTCATTATTGACATTGTTCTTGAATAGGTCGCTTTACATATAAAAGATAGAATATCAGACTGATCGCTAAAACCAAAAGTCGCTTAGAAAAACGTGGTCGCTTGGGCAAATTTGACTGTACTTATAATAAGCAAGACTTTTGACAAAACATACTTCTTGAATAATTCAAGATGAAAAAATGACATTGGAATGTTATGGTAAAATCATTGCATTTTGCTTAAATTGCGGCTAGACTCATGCCACAAACAACAAAACTAATAAAGCACTGACATGTTGATCTGTAAATCATTATAACCGCCAAGATCAAATATGAAGATATTTTTTTAAAGATCCTTTAAAGCAATGTCCTTCCTCTGATGTGTTAACTAAATACTCTCGGAGGTAACTCTAGTTAATGTCTGGTACCTTCAATACAAAAATGTTGGCCAAATATGCTGTGACTAACGAAAACGATACTTTCCATTGTTCAAAATATTTGTAAATTTCTAAATTTAAGCGGTGGGAAGAGCATGATCATTCGAATAACGACTTCTAAGTTGTTATATGTCAATAAGCGAGCGGGATTTTATGACAACCATCATGTGCACAGCCTCTTTAAATCAATAAAATCGTACCCGCAAAACCTGACTAGCTTTTGGAAAACACTTATTTTTATATCTTTTTTTGGTACAGACTGTCACTATCCGTCATAGACGATGAAACGTGTTTACGAGTGGAGGTTTTATTTTTCTTACAAGACTTAGATTCTAATACTAAATTGTTTGCATTTGATGTCTTGTGACAATAAAAATTTCAATATAGAAACAAAAAAAACGAAAAAAAAAATGGTAAGTTTAGCAGCGTTTATAATATAAAAGGAAATCTTATGATGGTTTCTGTAAAACAAGCATGTCTATTGTCATGAAATTTCAAAATATGCATTTGAATTTTAAATATGGTTACAGAAGGCACTGAATTTGTTTGGGTCCCAGAATGTCCGAAAGGTGAAGGTTGTGAGATTATAAACCATTTTGTTTTCGTGTAGTGACACCAATGCTGTTTCCAGTGTTATTACTGTTCGTAGTAAATTGTTTATGTTCATTAACTAAAGGCGATCACAATAATCCGAAGATTAACGGAAAAAGCCGAGCAATTTTCATTGATTAAAATAATTTTCATCCGCGTAACAAAAACTATTTGAATATATTACCGGTAATTTGTGGAAATGTTAAAGAATAACACAATATTAGAAATCTTCGACCAATCGGGAACTATTTTTTCTTCTTTTCTTCCCTGAGAAGGTTTGAAAATTAATGCGCCTGTCATTTGATAATCTTTACTCATTGATCTCCCCTTAATTTTTCGTCGTTAGTGTACTTTTAAAGAAAAGTAACCGCTTCGAGGAGTTCGTGACACACTACTTTCGGATTTTACAAGTAAGCATATCAGGATCTAAAATTTCACTACCATTATTTGTTTGGTCTGACGACCCAAACAAATAAAAATCAAAATGTGCAAAAAAAGCCTTTACTGTGTTCTAATGATAAATACTGTAAAGTTAGTCATTAATCGCTGATAACATTAAAATTATAACTTGAATTTTGAATCTATTTTTGTGCGTGCAAAATCTTTCACAGTTTTATCAAACTTAATGTCTTGAACTTTTTTGTATTATCTGAAGACATTCAGCTTAAATATTGCTATACACCCACATCAAATTCATATCAATAATTAGACCATGAATAATGAAGTCGTTTCGTATCGCAAGTATATTCATTCGCTTTCACAAGATCAATATATATGCAATTTGTTAAATATGCTTTGCGAAAAACACTTTGGTTGATATATAATGACATAACTTACGATATTATGAATTGTTATTCGTGATTTCCTGCAGATTCTATATTATTTAAGAAAATTCTGAAATTAAATACTATTTTTAAATATTTATAACTAAATATCATAAACTTGTCAGTGTTCCCTAGAATAATGATTTAATATTGGTGTTGATACAATCGCCATGAGATTTCATGTTAGAATTAGAAAATAACTATCAAAGTATAATACATTATGAACAAAATATCTCCCAAGCGAATTGTAATCTTGAAACTGTGATGGCAGTAAACTATGAAATATTAAATTTACATTTATAATATCATATAATATTAATTGTCTAGTGTTTGGTCCAATATTTCTTGCAACATAAGTCTTGTTGTTTCTAGTTCTGCTGCGGCTATGACACAGTTTTCTCGTATAGTTAAATTAATTCTTTGTGCTGCAGACACGAAATAAGAGCATTATTACTTGCTAAAAATCAAATGTTTCAAAATAAACTTTAATGAACATATTGAAAAAAAAGAACGGCGAGATCCATTTTAGACAAAATTGAGAAAATAATAATCCCTAAAGAAAGTCCAAAACGGCAAGCATCAAAATGTTGCAGACTCGGTTTGATTGAGCCTGTTCATGGACGGTACTGTTAAATGCAAACTACCGTCCATGCCCCCTTAAGCAGAAGTCAAAAACATGAAATGGTAAAATTTTTAATTTAGAAACATTCGCAGATGTGTTCATACGGCGGTAATCATAAATTTGATTATCACCATATTTCATGTTGATCTCTGTACATCTAAGTATATGAAATTTCCTAGCATGTATATAGAAAAAACTTAAGTCAATAACATGGACTGTATCTTGTAGAAGAAAGTTAAGGGAATGAATTGTGCAATCGATAAAATACAGTATCATTTAAAACATGTGCTATTTGACAGTCATTTAAAGCATGTGCTATTTGACAGTTAAATTCATTCATAATTATTTATTAAGAATAATATGGAATGTAAGACTTCGTTAAAATGTCACTAATGAATAAGTACGTGATAAAACCGAAAGAATTATAACGTCCATGAAGATTAAAGCACGAATAATTGATTGGAATACATAACTGCACAAAATAATCATAGACTAACACCTTATATGTATATATCTCAATTCCTTTTGAATTTATCACTGCTTTCAATCACATCTATTCTTCTTGTTTATGAACACATGATTTATGTATTTCCCTATATCAACATTTAACTGTCAGATTGCGGTGTTACGTTTCCTATATGAGACATTTTCTGCTGAAAATATTACAATTTATCATTAGCTTAGAAACCAAACACAGAATTAAATACCAAGGGAGGAATTTGTAATTTGCTGAGGTCGGATTGAAACGATTGATATTCATTATTTGTAACTTTCAATTATACCAGCAAACGTATGATGAGTACTGGCTGCCAAAAAAAATAAATAGATAAACATATCTTTTATAAAGCTCGTAAATGTAACCGGCAACAAACAAATTTGTTTTAAGAAAATTAAAGTCATCGCGTGCTAACTCATAATTTACATAGAATGTTTCAGCGGGGAAGAAATAGGTTTTGCTGGAATTTATTTTACATTACTTCTATTTAAACATATTGATTCAAAATCTCAATAAATATTCATAATAATACACTCACATTTATTAATATATGTCAATAATTATCCTTACGTTTATGTATCATGCTCAAAATCTGCGGCTATTCTTACAAGACATGCTACGTAAACCCAAGATTTTTACAGATATTTTTCTACAAAATTGCAGCTGTCCATCGGCCTAAACCTCTTTATGAGCAAACAAAATCTTCCCTGAAACAGATAATA